AACAGCAAGCTGTTCTAGACCTGCAAACCACAACAGCAAGCTGTTCTAGACCTGCAAACCACGACAGTGAGCTGTTCTAGACCTGCAAAATACTTTAGGCTTCCAAACAGCTGCTCTCCTCAGTGGCTTCACCAACTCTTCTTATGCCACTTTACCAATTCTTTTTTTGTTTGTTTGTTTTTTCAAGACAGGGTTTCTCTGTGTAGCCCTGGCTGTCCTGGAACTCACTCTGTAGACCAGGCTGGCCTCAGAAATCCACTCAGAAATCCACCTGCCTCTACCAATTCTTTTGTTGGGTCTTGCCCCATGAATAGATAAAGCATATTAATCACGTTGCATGTTTTCCTTTTCTTTCATCTTAGGAACATTACCCTTTTGCACTATCTAATAACTATTGTGGAGAACAAGTACCCCAAAGTCCTCAATCTAAGTGAAGAGTTGCGGGATATTCCTCAAGCAGCAAAGGTGAAGTAAGTACCAGGACGGCCCTCAGCTAGACCGCAGAGCAGCAGGCACTTTGCTAGCACCACACTCAAGTGCACATGTGCAAGGAGTTTGAATCCCAGCCAAACATGTTAGAGAATGTATATTTGTTCTAGGTCTTTTGGAATACTCACCGCCCCATTGTGTAAAACCTAATTTTCTTAGAGTATAAGCATCAGCTAGGCCTTTTGGCTTCTCTGACTCAGAAAATAGAGGCAAGACTGCAAGTTCAATTCCTGCCTGGGCTACAAAGTGAGGTCAAGGCTGGCCTGGACAACCTAGTTAGATTGTCTCAACAAATAGTAAACTTAAGGCTGGAGATGCTGCCGAGTGGTACAGCACCTGCCTACACGGGAGGCCATGGGGTTAGCCTCACGAATGCATCTGAAGAGCAGCTCTACTGAACACAGGTAACCCTGAGTCAAAGGAGGACACAGGTGAAGCAGATGGAAGGCCTCCGTGTGAGGAGCCCCAGTCATTTTCACAGGCACACACACTCCTTGGAGCCAAGCAGCCCGTTAATGGGAAGCAGTCATTATGTAAATCAAGGAACTAAAAATAAAATGGGAAGTTGCCAAACTTTCCGCACAAGTCTCGTGCCATGTTTCAGAGATAGAAATAGGCAGCTTTCCACGATCTCCTCCCTCCACACCTCCTTGTGATATGCATACATGTAAGCTGGGCCGTTTGCTGCCAATTTACAGCCTAGAATGAGTGGGCTTGTTCTCTCTCTCTCTCTCTCTCTCTCTCTCTCTCTCTCTCTCTCTCTCTCCACACACACACACACCCCTCTCCACATTGGTGTAAGAAATAGAGTAGGTAACACAAGAAATTAATCTAGTGAAGTGAAGGGACTATAGTGAGCTCTTCGGTATGGAGGGGGTTGTGAGGCTTGAGCTTTAATCTTTAGTATTTAAAAGCCATGAAATAGAAAGCATAGGCGAAGCCCAGGACTCTTTCTCCACTGAAAACAAAGAAGGCAGGAAAGTGAAAAGTAACCAGGACAGCTCTCAGAAAAATGCCTGCCGACTGAGGCTGAGTGCCGCTGTTCACACTGCTGCAGTCATAGGGAGCTGCGGGCTCCAGACTGAATGAGCTTCTGGGCACGCTACCTTCTCAGAGAGCCAAACATGTCAAAGGTTCATTTCTACAGACAGCAACGTGCTGTGAAGCAAAGACCTTCTGTGATTCAAACATAGAATGTTTCTGCACACATGGGAAACATTTTTCTTCTGCTATTTTTAACCTATAAAATATACCTGATGGCAGAGGAAAACAAAAAATGTACAGAAGAATTAAAATTATACACATAAGTTACATGTTTTTTTAAATGCTTAGCTTTTGTGAGATCTGAGAATGAAAGAAATGTTTCCATTTTATCACATTTACTTAGTGTGTGAGTGTGTATGAGTGTGTATACACATGTGCCGCTGAGCCATCTCCCTGTCCTGGAAATATAGTTTATAAGCTAACCACACGCCTGCCTCCAAGCATGAACTACCTCAGGCCACAGCTTATTCATTACTCCTGAAAGCTGCTTGCTGACTGCTAAGATGTCGCTCTCTCCGACAGCATGACCGAGCTGGACAAAGAGATCAGCACCCTGAGGAGTGGCCTGAAAGCTGTAGAGACGGTGAGTACCTGCTTCCCACCATGACTGCTGTACTACTTCGATGGTGTGCAGACCTCGAGCACAGGAGCGCCCTTGGCACGTGGTCTGCCCAGGATAAATATGATTCTGTAAGAGTGACCAGAAAGAAGCAGGCATCAGCTGTACCCACTGTAGAAACAGTTTCATGCAGCCGAATGTCCTGAGTGGCTCCCTGCAGTGGGAGCTGGAAGTGGGTGAGGAGGGCCAAATTCAACCCTGGAGGCAGGCCTTAGAATGAGTGGACTGGGTGAGGCCATCTTCCATTTCCATGTTCTTCGACTCTTTGATGTGACGTTCCACAGGTTGATGGAGACCTCTCTGCTACTTCTGAACTGGTCCTTTGGGGAGTCTTCACCAAACACACACTTGAGCATAGCATATTGTGTCCAAGGCACAAGGTCATAGTAACCCAGAGTCCCTGCTTTCCAGTGCTGCAGTGATGAGAAGAGCCAGTTCCCTCAGCAGGACCCTGTCTAGATAAGCGTGGCAATCAAAGAGGGACTTGATGAAAGGGCTGGATTGAGGCTAGCCTGGACGTGTGTGATCGACTGGCACGTCCTGGAGGAAATGCTCCTACGGGAGGAGGTGAACTCCAGACATGGCCTAGAAGCAGGATGGTGTGGAAAGGTACATAGGAGTGGGGCTGCCCAGGTACAGAAGATAAAAGGGAACCACAGGAATGTGGACAAGATAGGGAGGAGTCAGAAGAATGTAGCACAGCTGCGCTGGGACGCCACCATAGGGGTGTCTACATGAATGGGGCTGCCAGGGAAGGAGATGAGAACCACCACTCAGAACCCTGCCCAGTTGTCTATGTCTGTACTGGGTGAGGTTCCTGATCCAGAAGCAGTCTGAAATTTGCCCTTCCCTTAAATTCCTTGCAGGTAATTTATCACCAAAAGCAAAGATACCCTCCTTTCTCTTGTTTTAATCACAAAACTATATCCTAGACACTGTTGAATTCCTTGAAGACATAGTACTAATAAAATTTTAATTTTTTTCCCACTAAGGTTCAGGAGAATGTTTTTGAGGAGTTGGGAACTGAGGGGGATAAAGGAATTATATTATGAACACCCAAAAATTTCTTCATGGATTTTTAGAAGGTCCAGTGTCCTAATTGTGTCCATGTGTCTTAATTGTGCCTTGTCCAAGTTAGTGATGCTGTGTAAAGTGTCAGAGATAAATTTGGATACAGTGATGACGAATTGGATAATGGCATCCTTTACATCCCTACACCAGCACAGCACAATCTTCCCCCTCTCCTTCCCTCCCTCCCCCACTCTGTGTGTGTGTGTGTGTGTACACATTTATACCAAGGTACTAAAACTGTGGTGATGTCTTCAGTCAGAGCTGGCTCCATAGTTTGAGTCTCTGCTTCTGTCATTTCATTTAGTCTGCCATTAAGAACAGCATCAGTAGACTGAGTCAGAACCCATAGCCCTTGAGTGCTACACTCCTTCTGAACAGTGTCTCTGCCAAAGCAGGTGCAGTAAAGTCCCATGACCCTCAGCCAGTCTGCTGGCTAGCATAGATATTTCTAGGACTGGGGCAGGCAGACTGAGCTCAAATTCTGCTCCTGTCACTAATCAACAACTCCCTGACTTTTTGAGCAAAGAATTAAAGTCTGCTAAGCTCCATATGTCTGTGCAGTAGGATAACAATGCTGGGGAACTGTAGCTGCTAAGAATGTTTCAAAATGGCTGAACTTCATGACTGAAATTTGACTTTAGTCCTCTGTGTGATCGTCACCATGGTAGTGGAGAACATGGGAAATGAACAAAAGATTCATTCTCCTACCTGCCTATTCACCAAGACCCATTATCGGTGTGGACAGGAAGGAAGGAGGGAGATGAACCTGTCGCCAAGAGCTACAGCTGCAGTTCTGCTGACCTAGATACTATGGTTTGGGAAGTAAATAGAATTGGTAGATGATGAAGAAGAAAAAAATCAAAAAGAGAAAAACCAAACAAAACAAAGAAGGAAAACCAAGACACCAAAATTCTGAACCAGAACATTGGCCAGCAGGCTCGTCCTCATAAACACTTTGAATCCTACTGTTTGGGTTCTGTTTATTTTAGCCAAGTATTCATTTGCTTCTAAAGCCAGAGTTAGAAATCACCTTGGTTAAAATCTTAGAAAATTAAGTAGCTGTTTTCAGATATGTCTGCACACATGGGCGTGGCCTTGGTATGGAGAGGAAGGGTAGGGCAGCGAACTGACCTGAGATCTTTCAGATGATGCGTTTGCTATCTGAGCTCTTCAACTTGAATCTTGTGGAATGAGAGACAAGGTGTGCACATGTGAAACCTTTGCCATCACCATCCACTTTCTGTGTTTCAGGAGCTGGAGTATCAGAAGTCTCAGCCCCCACAGCCTGGAGACAAGTTCGTGTCTGTTGTCAGCCAGTTCATCACCCTGGCTAGCTTCAGCTTCTCTGATGTTGAAGATCTTCTAGCAGAAGCTAAAGAGCTGGTAAATTTCCCTGTGCATGTACTCATGTGGTTCTTCTGCCCTGAGCTTTTGTGTGGTGCTAAAGGACAGCAGCCCATTTGGGAAGAAGCAAGAGTAGTATTTGAACATCATGATCAGGAAATGCAGCAGCAGATAATGTCTTCCAGATCGGGTTGTTCTGTGGAACAGTTGTATTTTCATCTCAAGGATAGCCCTTGGTATCTAACTGGCCTTTTGGTTGGCAAGACCTTACAGGCTGGAATGGTTGCACCTTTGCCTTGGTTGCCATGGATTGATTTGTTCATCTCTGGAAGCAGATTAAGTGATGAGAACTAGGAGCAGGTATGACCAAGGCCACATATATCTGTGTAAGATGTTTATCTCAAGGGGACCAAGGCCAATATGCAGAGCATATCAACAGTGATGCATTTCACTTCACAGCATCATTACAAAGGAACATTATTTTAGTAAGACATTTTGTTGTGATACTTTCCATTTAAGATTTGTTTTATTGTATGAGAAAGGCTTTTGTTGGCTAATAACCAACACTTCTAAGCATGCTCTCTTATTACATCTTCCCTTGGGTAGTTTCTCACTATTCATAGATGATATTCCCCACCACAGAGTTCTACACAGGCCATCTCTTAAGTTTGATTTTTGTTGCTGTGCTAAATAAAATGACCAACAGCAACTTTGAGAGGGAAGAGTTTATTTGACTTACACGCTTCAATCACAGTCCGTCATGAAGGGAAGTCAGGGTGAGAGCCAAGGCTGGAATTGAAGCATGGAGGAATGCTGCCTTCAGGCTTGCTCCTCGTGGCTTGCTCAGCCTACTTCTTCATTCAATCCAGGACCACCTGCCCAAGAGTAGGTTGATCTCTCCAACATCAATTCATCAAGAAGATGCCCCACAGACTTGCCCACGGGCCTCTCTATTGTAGGAGTTCCTCAGCTGACATTCCACCCTCCCCAGACAGGTCTAGCTTTGTATCAAGTTGATAGTAACCAGCACAATCTCTCACCATAATCCTTTTGCTTAAGCCTCTCCTTCAAACCTGACTAGTAGGCATCGTTTTCAATGGTCAGGTTGAGTTATCTGGTGTAGATGATTGCATTCAAGTTCAAAGGGTATGTTGACAAACATCAGCTAATTTCAGTACTACCTTCCAGCTGTACCAGTAAACAAGGAGATAGCATGTCCCACAGAGCCACTATTAGCAATCCAACTCCAACATACTACAGTGAGAACAAGAAAAATAATATCCATAGGTGTGGTCCAAATCACCACCATGAGATTCTTATCCATTGTTGTGTTTGTAAAAGAAGGGACCCCCTGCGCACCTCATCACAGAGCTGAAACAGAATCATAGGGTTATCTTTTTGTTTTGTTTTTTAAGACAGGGTTTCTCTGTGTAATCCTGGCTGTCCTGGAACTCACTCTGTAGACCAGACTGGCCTTGAACTCAGAAATCCTCCTGCCTCTGCCTCCCAAGTGCTGGGATTAAAGGTGTGCGCCACCACCGCCCAGCATCTTTTTTTTTTTTTTTTAACACACATGCAGAAAACCCTGTGGTTTTGAGTGTGGGAACATTAATCTGGCTTGAGGTTCCTTCAGATTTCTAAAACTAAAATATATATGACTTCATCATCACTAGAATTCCTAGATAAAAAGATCATCCATGCTGGTTTAAAGTGCATGAACTTGAATATTTGAGAAGCTCAGCTGTAGACTGTTTACTGCTGTTTTGTTCATACCAGAACTTTTAGAGATCGACTTATAAAACCATGAATCAAGCTAGATTACTCTAATGTGGTGTGTGAAGAATGTTATGTTTTTCCCTAAAGAGTTCTGTTTTATAATAGAATATTTCCAAATAAGTAAAACGTTGAAAACAGCTCTACATTAAGAGAAAGTTGTTGGGAAAAAAAGGTCTTAAAATCTGAGGGCCAGTGAGATGTCTCAGTGGGTAAAACCACTTTTCATGCAAACCTGATGACCTAAGTTCCATCCTAGTACCCACCAGGAGGAGAGAAGTGACTGTAAAAGTTGACCTCTGACCTCCACTGCACAAATGCACCTGCACACTTACATGTATGCACACACAATAGCTAAAGTTAAAATATAAAGTAATTATAAAATATGTAAAATATACATGTCTTAGTCAAATTTGTTATGTATAGAAACACGGTAAACATTCTTTAGCAAGCATAATATTACTGTAATACCAGAAGCTTTAACAACATAAGTAATGCAGGTAACACAAGAAAAATCATGGACTTAAAGATGATATACAAACTTACTGTGTGGTCTGACTCTGAAGAAAATAGAAGGTCAGATCAGAAAGTAGTTGATTAGCACAGGAAAGAGAAATCTGTGGACTCTGGAGCCTGATCTCTGAGTTGGGCCATGCAGTACCAGCAGCACTGGGCCCTTAACCCTAGGAACAGGGTGCTGACAGTAATGGCGCCACCCTTGGGTTGTCCTGGTAAGCTGAGACTCCTTAGAAAAAGGTCTCAGAGAACCAAAAACAGTTAAGAGGTTTAAAGAGAAACTACACATACTGTTTTATTACTATATATTTTGTTTAAATTTTTAAAATTATCCCTAACTTTGTATTTGTTCACTTTGAAAAAGAGACATTAAAAAAGATTTCTGAGTGGTAGGATTGGCTAAAGTACTGTTAGCCACAGACTTCGGATGATAATAATGAGTCCACAGTTATCATGGTGGGGGAGGCTAAAGACAGTATTAGCATTATTTATGGGTTGGAGAAAGCAGCAGAGAAGTCTTTGAGCCCCATTTGTTTTTCGTGTTCCCAATAAGTGGAATTAAACTACTTCAAAGGAAAGCTTAAAGTACTGGATTTCCAACCCCTGCGGTACTTTGCTGTTAGTCTCTGTCTTGGGTGTCTTGCTCCACAATATTTTGCCTTCCTGTTTACTACTGTTTAGTTAACACAAAGTTGTATGAAATCATAGGTGTTCAGCTAAAATGAAGTGGGCAGAAATCTCGGCTTGGGAATCAGGGAGTATCCATGTCTTGCTTTGGAAACCAGTAGGTGCATGCAACAGCTGGAGGTAAACCATAGGCTGGCTAAAAGCCATCAGCTGTAACTGAGCTGCCCGCCTTCTCCAGAGAATTCAGTTTCACTATGGACTGGGTTCTCTTGGAACACTGAAAATTTTTTTTTTTTAAATCTTTTTCTCCAGTTCACTAAAGCAGTGAAGCACTTTGGAGAAGAGGCTGGCAAAATACAGCCAGATGAGTTCTTTGGGATCTTTGATCAGTTTCTTCAGGCCGTGGCAGAAGCGAAACAGGAAAATGAGAACATGAGGAAAAGGAAGGAGGAAGAGGAGCGGCGGGCTCGCCTGGAAGCTCAGGTGAGAGATGCTCCCTCAGCAGCCCTCCTGGCAGGCCTGTGGCCACAGCCCGAGCTCGGGGTTCACTGAGTCTTTCCCCTTTGTGGTCCATGTGACAGACACATGCTCCAGCATCCAGCTGTGACCCAGACCCAGGCCCTGTGTTCCCATAGCACTGGCAAGGAGGGGAAATCATGCGTTGTAGAGTGCTGCAGGTAGCTCAGAGCCACGCCACGATTCCCTTGAGTAGTCTGGCAGCTTCTTTCCAAAGGCTAGAAAGGTCGATCCACATCCTGCACGATTATCTCCTTAGAAATTACCTTCAAGAAATGATCATAAATTTGCAAAAGGATATTAGCATCCTTTATAAAAGCCACAAATGATCTATTTACTGCCTCAAATAAATGCTTTTAAAAAAAAAAGACTATAGTGGAACTTACCTAGAAGTTGGTAAGTGTTGTTTTGTTTTTCACTGTCTGTTGCTTTTGCAGTCACACATATAGGTTTGCAGCCATAGCTGAACATGGCTTCACATAAGAGATTCATTCCCTCCCGTGGCCCAGAATTCTTGCGTCTCTGCTGAAAACAAAGTACGCTCTAACCCTAAGAGGACTCTTTCTCTGCACAGCTCAAAGAGCAGCGGGAGAGGGAGCGGAAGATGAGGAAGGCCAAGGAGAGCAGTGAAGAGAGCGGAGAGTTTGATGACCTGGTCTCGGCGCTGCGCTCAGGAGAGGTGTTCGACAAAGACCTTTCAAAACTCAAACGGAACCGGAAACGCATTTCCAACCAGGTGACGGACAGCAGCCGGGAGCGACCAATCACAAAACTTAATTTTTAGTTTCCTTGCATCCTTTTCTAGAAAGCGCCGTAGCAGCCCTTTGGAGTGACTAGAACTTTCCATTACACTGCCTCCAGATGCAAAACAATGGCAGTTTCTTCTCTCATCTGTGAGTGAAGGTGTGAATGTGTGTGTGTAAATGTATGTGTATATATGTGAAAATGTACATAGACACACAGTTTAAAATGACAACACGTAACAGATCACCTCAAAGATTCTTTGAGATAAGTTGATCTGAGCAGCCCGGTAGATACTGTTGATGGTTCGTGTCCATATGAGAGTTAAGTGTTGTCCGGGACCTATGTGTATGCTTAAAAAGTTCATGTTAATATGTGCGCCCAGAAACTCTTTGTGTACGCATTCATATTGAGTGGGGTTCATTTTCTTTCCCTGAACACCATGCCTGTTCAGAAGCACAATACTCTCTCCTGAAACAGTAACAGACATTCCTTTAAAGGGGGTGGGGGTGGGGAAGAAAAAAGGAAGCTTTAAAAAAAAAAAAAAAGGCTTGTCTTGTGAAGTAGTTTTGGTTCCCAAGGTTGGCGTAGTGAGCCGATATTCACTGCAGAAATGGAGTTGGCAAACAGACTGGGGTGAGCTCAGAGGCTGTAGGCGAGCCACCGTCACCTGCACGCCAGCATCACTGGCTGACCTAGCGGAACAGCGCCGAGGTTCTGCTGCTGCTGTTGGGGTGCACTCTTGTCTGGGTACAAACGTCTGTTGAGAACATCTTGCACACATTCATATCATGTAGAATGTCAGTCACACTTCATTTATATATTTAAAACTTGAGCACCATTTTCCCCTTAATTTCATCAATTTTTCCGCCAAGTGCTCTTGATGACTTCTTTTATTGGTTTTGTTATTTTGAAAACACACTTTCCAAGTGATGCCGCCTAGATCCTGGTTAAGGGCCAGAATTGCCAGAGCCTCCTCATTGACCTAACAATACAGATCTGTAGACCTGACGAATGAAATTCTCCACCCGAGACTTAGTGGAAGAACTCCCTGAAGATTCTTCTTAAAGGCATAGGGGTGCTTTGGGGTGTCTTCTCTTTTCTGTATAGGCCGCGCTGCGTGTCCTGGGGTACAGGACTCTCATATGGACACGAACCATCAACAGTATCTACAGGGTTGCTCAGATCAACTTATCTCAAAGAATATTTGAAGTGATCTCTGTTACCTGTTGTCATTTTAAACTGTGTGTCAGTGACGCTACCTGTACAATTTCAGTCCAAAAAATAAAGCTCTCAGGGAGAAATGATTTAAAAAAAAAAAAGAGCAGTAGAGAATAAAATATGGACGCTTACCACTGAGCTGCCAACTCCTAGTGTCCTTAAATTATATGGTATGTAAAGAGGACTGTTACTGTTGTTTTCTTTTGCTTTATTTATTTGTAATAGGGTGTGGGGAGGGACTAGCGTTGTCTCTCTGTTTTCTATCCTTTTGTGATTGGATGTCCTGTGGAGAGAGTAGTTTTTCCTGTTGCACTACACTATTATCTACTCCCTAAATGAGTTTTTCAGTCAAGTATCAAATATTTATTAAGCCCTCACTATGTACCAGGCGCAGTAGAGCTGCAGTGGTAAGCAAGACGAAGTCCCTGCCCACCCAGGAGCTCACATCCTCAACGGGGTTTCCGGGGACAGGAGAATACCAATGTGCATAGTATACAGGAACCATACTATTTAAGAAATAATCTGTATGAATTGTAATGTTTAGTGCAGACGGCAAGGGATCTGTGCTGTGTAAAAGCTGTGAAACAGTGCTCTAAGAATTGTCAAGAGCTGTTGTTTTTACTCTTTTTGTTTTTCTTCATCGCAAACTTAGCGACCTTTCTACCCATTATGTGGAAGCAAATGGCTCTTCACTATGACAGTCACAGGTACAAAGCGGAGCTGACTCTCCCAGCCCCGAGCTAAGCACAGTCTGCAAGCATCCTGGCTGTGGCTCGGGCCAGCTCGGAGAGGAGGAGGAGCGGGGTGGAGTGATGGATTTCACTGTTCCTGATCTAAAGTGCCTCTTTGTATATTCTTTTCTATTGCTAGCAGGAAAAGTTTGGTCCAGCTCAGTTTTGGAACTGTGGAGAGAGACTCACAACAGAGAGCAAGTCTGTGTCGCATGTCCCCTTGCCCCTCTTAGAGCCATCCTCACTTCTGTGTAGCCCCTCTGGTAGGCCACCTTTGCCATTCCCAGCTTTGGGTTCTTTTCCTAAGGACTGTGTGCAGGTAACTTCATGTGTCATTGTTACAAACAAACAAAAATCGACTTTTTAGACTGGTGCTGGTGTAAGTAGCTACTTTTCTCTCTTGAGTATGTATTTTAAAGATTTTTTTTAAAATAATGCCAAAAAAAGAAAAAGCGTTATAATTTTTAAACTTAATTAACTGTCTCGTATCTTCTTAGCTCAGTAGCTAGAACCACTTAGTCTTTAGGTGCAAGACTGTTGTTACAGAACCAAGGAAAATAAAGATGTCGTGTGTGCTATGAGATTGTACATTTTTTTTAAAATAGCAATATGCAATAAAGATGACTTCACTGGGTGTACAGATGTGTTTTCTATGTATTATTAAAGTAGCAAGGTTAAATTTCTTGGTGCACTCTCCCATTGAATTTAAATGTAGCAAATCAGTGAATCAGAACTGTATATGGATTTTTAAATGTGCTTACCCTGGAGCTAAAGGTCCCTAGTGCAACCGTGTTTCACATGTCTAGACTACACTGCTAACTCTTTCTGTACCTGGTTTATGTGGCATATGTATGCCTCTGAGTTAGGTGTGGTGGAGCTTCCAACGCCAGCATCCACGCCTGTGTGTCAGGAAGCGTCCCTGATGTGCATCGGTATGAGGAACGCCACTTGCATGGAGGAAAACATCCATCAAGCCCGCCATACTCTGACCGTCCTGATCTTTGTTCTGATTACTGCCACCAGCTTTGTTTGCCATTAAGTTACAGGGTAACTGCACAGTACCTAAAACTGCCCTCTGCTGCTGGAGTTCAGAGGAGAGACATCTGCAGGTCAGACCACCCATTCTGCCAAGCGAGCATGCTAGTGCCTCCTATCTGTCCATGAGTGTGGAGCTATGTAAAGCCACATAGAGCTTGCCCTTGATACGCGGATGGAGACATGACAAGATGTGAAGACTTCAGATCATCATAGTCAGTTCAGTCTTCACTCGCTCAACCGTAGCAGTGGCTGGGAAGATGACCGCTTCTAGAGACTCACATCACGTGACCCATCTACAACTGTGCCCTTTTTCTGAAGCCTGATGTGGATTTATTTATATGCAGTAAGTTGGATATCATGTGAGGGGGGTGTGTTCAATGTTGTGTGCACAAGTTTGTTTACACTTACATGGGCATGCATAAGGAGTCCTGAAGTTGACTTGGTATATTAATCAATTTCCACCGTATTGAGGCTGTCGCTGAACCCAGAGCTCACCAATTCCAGCTTGCTGAATCTGGCTAGCCTAACTTACTAGTTTATTTAGGGGAATTTTATTTCTACTTCCTGAGTGCTACCACAATTGTAGGCCACCACAATACCTGCCCTGTTTTTCCATGGATTCTGAGGATCTTCACTCCAGTCTCTGTACCTTCAAGGGAGGCGCCATCTCTCCAAGCCAGTTTGGGCACATTGGTTTGGTCATTATCATTCCAAAGGCCAGATTCTGGAAAGGAAAACTTTCCGATGTTTCCATCAGGTGAAGACTATAGGAAACTCCGGAAGCTGGGCAAGCTCCTTGATGAGTAGTTGAGTAGATGCCAGCTTTGTGGTATGTGGGGTAACAGATCTCGGACTTCCTGCCTCTGGATCACATATAGGTTCTGATTACTGAGGTCTGCTTATTACATTGTATTTACACTGTGTTACATCTCTGTCTCTGCATGCTCCCTCCCAATAACATGAACTTTGCTTAAGTTTAAAATCTTCTTGAGAGGACTGGATAAGTAGCTTGGTGGTTAAGAGCACTTACTGCAGAGGAACCAGTAATTCTACCTCTGGGTATCTAAACTATATAAAAAAATACATTCACAAAAAAAGGAACAATGATGGTGTGTATACTGGGGCTTGAGAGATTGCTCAGTGGCTGAAAGCACTCGACACTCTTGCAGAAGATCTTGGTTCAATTCCCAGCACCCACATGGGGGCTTACAACCATCTGTAACTCCAGTTCCAGGGGCTAGAACACTTCTTCCTGACCTCTTTAGGCACCTTGGACACATGTGACACAGACAGTGACTTGCAAGGAAAATGCTCATACACATAAAATATATGTTTTGAAATTAACTGGACAGTGAAGAAAAATGCCTTACCTGCCCTTTGATCTGGCATTTTCTTTATCAGTTTTTTTTTTTTTTTACTCAACTGTGTTTCCATGGTATCAAACAAACAGTATGAGCACAGACAAAGGTTTCTTTTTCTTTTTTCTTTTTCTTTTTTCTTGTTCTTTCTTTCTTTTTTTTTTTTTTTTTTTTTTTGAGAAGGCCTCTCTATGTCATAAAGTTTTCTTCAAAGCTCATGCTGGCCTTGGGTTCAGTTGTCCTGTCTCAACCTGCTGAGCAAATGAGATCTGTATTTTTATCAAACTTTGATAGGTTTGGGGTTTGATTCGGGGAAAATAAACAGTTCCTAAGTAGAGATGGGTTTGTTCATGTTACTTGGTGGTGTTAAAATTCCTTCTCAGAGGGGATGCCATAAGGAACATCTACCCCTTCTCCTCAGGGAGAGCTATGGCCAACATCTACCACTTCTAAATTCCAAAGGCTAAGAAGAGACACCATTCTGTTCAAGTTCACTCTGGAGACTCAGTGAGTGTATAGGGTGCACGTAACAGCACGTAGGTGAGGAGGGATTTTTTTTTCCCCATTGATGAAATGAAACCCTTTCCCTACTCTCTAGTCTCCTTCAGCCAATAATACTGTCCTACCAACCTTGCCATGTGCAATTATGGCTGAGTTGCATACAATAGGGGGTAGGGCACAGCTGGATGCCCAGGTGAGAGAGTGGCCTTCCCAACCTCCATGAAAGGGTATAAACCAGTATGTTTTACCTTCCCAATGCTGAAATCCTTTAATATACTTTCTCATGTGCTGACTCCCTGCCCATCAAATTATTTTGTTGCTACTTTATAACTGTAATTTTACTACTGTTATGAACTGTGAGGTAAATCTCTGATATGTAACCCCTACTGGAGACCCACAAGTGGAGAACAGCCTAATAGTCAACAAGTCCAACTGGGATGGTCCTTTTGCAAGTGTGTTCAGTGAGCAGCCCAAGATGGTGGTGGCTTTGCTCAGAGAACAGTCACACTCAATGCTTACGCTAATTCGTTCTCTACCTCCTTGTGTGGCTGCTCTAGGAGGAGAAAGGAAGTGGGTTAATGACACTTCTTCCCAGTGCCACTTAGCCAGTGTCCCGCGCAACCTCCCGCCAGCAGGAAAGACGCGGCACACTCAGGATCCTTCT